AGGGTATCTCAAGAGAAGAAAACAATAAAGGTAATTTGAAGGTTGTACAGTGGTACCTCGGGTTAAGAACTTAACTCGTTCTGGAGGTCCGTTCTTAAAGTGAAACTGTTCTTAACCTGAGGTACCACTTTAGCTAATGGGGCCGCCCACTGCCGCCACACCGCTGGAGCACGATTTCTGTTCTCATCCTGAAGCAAAGTTCTTAACATGAGGTACTATTTCTGGGTTAGCAGAGTCTGTAACCTGAAGCGTCTGTGACCCGAGGTACCACTGTATTTCCCCCCATTCTCTCCCACCTATTAATAGGGAAATGATTCTGGTCTAGTTGAGTTCATGGCAGTAGGGGCAAACAGATTTGTAGGACAATAGTCAGAACCATGGCTCTTCATCTTCATGGACACAATTCACAGAATGAAGGGTAAAAGAATCACAAAAATATAGATTCTCTGTAGTTTAGCATTGCATCCTTTTGGCTACATATGGGGCTCTCATTGTGTTGTGTGCATCCCAAATGTGGCCCTCCAGGTGATATACTTTAATATGAGGTCACATTTCTTCAGACAATTTCTTCTTTCCTTACAGGTACAAAATAATCACTATAAGGAACTAAGAAGTGAAAGGAAAAAATGGCAAGTGCTAATCCTGTTAGTCACCTCGGCTTTTTCTTTGGCAACATCACACGTGAAGAAGCTGAAGACTACCTGATGCAAGGCGGGCTGAGCAATGGACTGTATCTCCTGCGACAGAGCCGCAACTATCTGGGTAGCTTTGCTTTGTCCATGGTTCACGGTGGCAAAGTTTATCATTACACCATTGAGAGGGAAATGAGTGGTTCTTACGCCATTACAGGAGGAAAATCCCACAGGAGTCCTATAGAACTCATTAACTACCACTCGGATGAAGTTGATGGTCTTGTTTGCCTGCTCAAGAAACCGTGTCATCGACCACCAGGAGTGGAACCAAAAACAAGTCAGTTTGAGGACTTGAAGGAAAATCTAATTAGGGATTATGTGAAACGAACGTGGAACTTGCATGTAAGTTTAGTTCTCCTGTGTTTTTCTGTTTTGCATTTGACACCTGGTGAGTATGGAGATGTGTGAAGGAGATTAAGAAAAGAAGTGAAACCTCACACTTTTGCAATGGCACCCAAGCACTGTGAGCATAAATGGCAAAATTCCCCAGCTAAAGAAAAATACCATTCTTGCCAGCACTATTCAGGCGGGGGTTGGCGTTGGGGTGGAGACTACTTGTAAGTTTTCCAGTTTCAAAATCCATGTAGCAATCAAATTTACTGTCACAAAAGCACAGGGTAGATTTTAGGGTGCTGTGTTTTCTTGCATGGGTCAGTCTTTTATGAAATCTGTTGGATTATTTGACATTTTATTTTTGCCTTCTAAAATGTGCCTTTTGAAGTATTGTAGCCTATTCTACTACTAATTGTACAGTTTTTAAATAAACAGATATACCAGGGGGTTAGCAAACTTTTTCAGCAGGGGGCCGGTCGACTGTCCCTCAGACCTTGCGGGGGACGACGACTATATTTTGGAGAAAGAAAATGAATGAATTCCTATGCCCCACAGATGCATAGATGCAAATGACCCAGAGATGCATTTTTTTAAAAAAGCACACATTCTACTCATGTAAAACACGCTGATTCCTGGACCCTCCGCGGGCCAGATTTAGAAGGTGATTGGGCTGGATCTGGCCCACGGGCCTTAGTTTGCCTACCCATGAGATATACAGAAAAAAAGTGCTTTGCTTAATATAGCTTAAAGAAGAAGAAGAAGAAGAAGAAGAAGAAGAAGAAGAAGAAGAAGAAGAAGAAGAAGAAGAAGAAGAAGAAGAAGAGTTTGGATTTGATATCCCGCCTTTCACTCCCTTTAAGGAGTCTCAAAGCGGCTAACATTCTCCTTTCCCTTCCTCCCCCACAACAAACACTCTGTGAGGTGAGTGGGGCTGAGAGACTTCAGAGAAGTGTGACTGGCCCAAGGTCACCCAGCAGCTGCATGTGGAGGAGTGGAGACGCGAACCCGGTTCCCCAGATTACGAGACTACTGCTCTTAACCACTAAACCACACTGGCTCTCACCAAAATGTTGTTGGGCTAAACATGCCTACCTGCCAAACACACACACACACACACACACACACACACACAGGCAAAATACTCTGGATATGCCCAGCACCTAGCTCAACTTCTGGAACTGCTTATTTTGTATTCTTACAACTTTCCCCCATTTTCCCCTACTGTGCAGGGCCATGCCCTTGAGCAAGCGATTATTAGTCAGAAACCACAGCTAGAGAAATTGATTGCTACAACAGCACATTTGAGAATGCCTTGGTTCCATGGGATAATAACTCGGGAGGAATCAGAACAGCGTGTTCTTCTGGGCACAAGGACCAATGGAAAATTTTTGTAAGTAAACATGTTTTTCTTGCAATTTCTAGAGGCTTAATGCCGACAACCTGAACTGCAGTAGGAAGACTAAGTAGTAGAGTCATTATTTCTAACAATACCAAAGTTTACCAAGTATGTTTATCTTTACTCATCTTTATTTCCATCTGGTCTTGCCTTCCTGGAAGCAGCATTTGTGGCTTATTTGCCAAGACATCGTAAGTTATTTATGAAATATTGAATTGACTCCCCTTTTTCCTTGTTATGGATATGGGATAGTGTTTTTCAAGACTGCATTGTTAAGCTAACAGTGGATTATACTTTAACTGTTATTAACCAACTTTATAACTATTTTTCTATGAGAGGCAATGGTGATGTGGTGTTCTTCAGTATACCGGAAACATTAATTGTTCCAAGCACATTCCACTGTTTTATTATCTCAAGTACTAATCCCTGTTGGTTGTTGAGTATATTCAAACCCAGTGATCTTGGGGTAAGATTGTTGATTTGACTGTGTGCAAACCCAAATTTTATATATATTTTTTAAAGAAATATTTATTAGGGTTTTACAAAAAACATAGGTTTACAGAATAAAGAAAATTAAAACAAAGATTAACACACTAAAAAGCACACATAGAAAAAAAGAAGAAAAAAGATGCAAAATGCAAAAAACAAATAGCTAGAAAGAAAAAATTTAAAAAATAAATCCATTTTTCAATATCTTTAGGCTCGTTTACTTATTTCCTTGACCTCCACACACCTCCCCTTTTTGTATTCCCATTTACAAAAACATTTCAGCAAATCCTTACCCTCTTTCATTTATCTTTACTCTATAAAGATAAATTTTATAAAGACAGAGATAACTTACCTAAGTCTACTCAAAAAGCAGACTTTACTGCTCTGGAAAATACTGTTTGGTCGCTACCACACTGTTGCTCATGGCAGGCATTAAAGGCCCTGAATTTCTTTGTGGTGGAACAAATTAAGTGAATCCCCGTCCCATATTTCATTCACGTTTTATATTTTGGGGGTTCTCTCCTCTTTTATCTGACTATGTCCTGTAATAACAACATTTGTAATGCATGGTTGCCTTTATTTCTGTTAACAGCTACATAACCTATTTATAGATAGGCCAAGAAGTGCACAGTGTTCTACTAATTCAGGAACTGGAAAATCCGACTCACCCATGTAGCTTGGACTAGGCAAAATCACATTAGTTGTTCTGCCTCTCTCCCCACTACCACCCTAGGCTGTGGCATAAAAGAAGTATGATAAGCCAATAGATTTGCTCTTCCTACCACATTACATCTGTCCTTCACTTTGGAAGCCAGTTGTTTTTAAAATGAAGGACTACTGTAGTAGACAAAAATGGAAATCCTAAATTTTAAGGGTGTGATGTTTTCTGTAAAAAAAATAAAATCAAGCCACACTTGGGGGGACCTTTGTGTAACTTGCAGGGAAGTGAGAACTTGTAGATGTTAGTGCCTGTTAATAATAATAATAATAATAATAATAATAATAATAATAATAATTTATTATTTATACCCCGCCACTCTGGGCGGCTCCCAACCGAATATTAAAAACACGATAAAACATCAAACATTTAAAACTTCTCAAGGAATATTAAGGAGCTAGGAAGGTATTTGTTTTATGACAGAGTAATATTCTGAAGTAGGGACGCGGGTGGCGCTGTGGGTAAAAGCCTCAGCGCCTAGGGCTTGCCGATCGAAAGGTCGGCGGTTCGAATCCCCGCGGCAGGGTGCGCTCCCATTGCTCGGTCCCAGCGCCTGCCAACCTAGCAGTTCGAAAGCACCCCCAGGTGCAAGTAGATAAATAGGGACCGCTTACTGGTGGGAAGGTAAACGGCGTTTCCGTGTGCCACGCTGGCTCGCCAGCTGCAGCTTTGTCACGCTGGCCACGTGACCCGGAAGTGTCTCCGGACAGCGCTGGCCCCCGGCCTCTTGAGTGAGATGGGCGCACAACCCCAAAGTCTGGCAAGACTGGCCCGTACGGGCAGGGGTACCTTTACCTTTACCTTTAATATTCTGAAGTAATTATTATTTTATAATAATAGGGATTATTATGAGAATTAAGGAGCCCAATAATCCTTACTAAATGGACTGGGTAACTGCACCAGTCAATTCACGCGGCTGTTTTTCTGGATACTGCTCAGTCTGTCAAATCTCAGTTGGGAAAACAGCTGTACTTTGGCTACTACCGTAGTTTGCGGTCTGGGGGTGGGTGGATAGTACGCCACTATTGTCTCCAGCAGCTATTAGACAAGTTGTGGGTGACAAAAGTAACTGAAAACCGTAGAAAACATGATGAGAGCTTTACACAGCTGATAACAGTGGAGAAGAATTAGCCTCATATTTGTTTACGTAAAAATGACTCTCTGCAGTTTGAAAATTGTTCCTTTGTTTATTTATTTTCTTTGCAGAATCAGGGAAAAGGAGAATCAGGGATCCTATGCTCTCTGTCTGCTCAATGAAGGAAAGGTGGTACATTATCGTATAGAGAAGGACAAGAGGGGGAAACTCTCAATCCCAGATGGAAAGAAATTTGATACACTCTGCCAGGTTTGTCAAGTGTCACTCGCTGAGCTGTCTGTTATGTCTGCATATTGACAGCATAGACAACAGGAGTTTTGCTTTGCTGTGGGTCTATAGATTAAATGTGTTATGCAAAATCACATATTTTCCTGTTTTCCATTGTGGGCAAAAGTATGGGAGGATAATGCTTACTTTGGTTAATATGAGCTGTTTAGATCTTCCTTAGAAAAAACTAGGTTAATTTGGGCTACAGTTGTTGTTGAGCAAATTGCAGGAAATCCCAAATCATCTAATTTATTCATGAAAATTTCAGAGTTATAGAAAGACAGTGAAATTCCATTTTTGTTATGCCCTCTCTGAAACACTATGTGCCATAAGGGAATATAAATTTAGGATTGCATTATGAGACATCTGTTGTTGCCTTTATTTCCCCCCCCCCCTGTTTTGAGTCAATACAAATAACAAAAGACTCTCAAATTGGCAGAAATGTGCGCTTTTTGAATGCAGTTTTGTTAACAAGTATGAATTCAAGATTTTCAGGATGTTATACGTGTACTTGGTATTAATTCAGTGTACATTGGGCTTGGATCCATGATGCTTGAGTCAGTGTGTAGGGTCTGCCATTATTTTCAGGTGAGTTTTCTACAAAGGAGTAGCAACAGCAAATGCACGAGTGATTTGTACACTCAGTTTTCATAATTCTAGTGTATCATGGGAAAGGCAAAATGGTGCCTGTTTCCCTATGGCAGTGATGGCCAAACTTGGCCCGCCAGCTGTTTTGGGACTACAGTTCCCATCATCCCTGACCACTGGTCCTGTTAGCTAGGGATGGTGGGAGTTGTAGTCCCAAAACAAGTTTGGCCATCACTGCCCTAAGGGAATGTGTGAACTTTGGACCTTTTTTTGAGCATACACATCTTTCTGCTGGGGAGGTGTGCAAGTTGTTCCATACATGTTAATATACAAGCACCAAAAGAGGATGTACAAGTTAGTTGGACATTTTCCATTACCACTTCTTTTTAATTGAGGAAACCACCCTCCGTCTTGGCTCCCAGTTATTATGAATAATAGTAGTATTCATTAATGAAATGTTCAGTATTGCACTTTGCAAATAATAGTGGTCCTACCAACTGTGGTAAAAAGCAGGGGAAATTGTCAGATCTTTTGCTCTGTAAACCTGGTTCTTTAATTCTAATGTGGTTGGAGAGGATGGATAAAGTGTTGTGAAATAGTGAGAGAAATGAGCTCTGCACATGTCCAGAGGAACTTTCATAAGTTATAGGGCTGAGGGTATTTGAAGACATGGTTGAGACCTAATGAGTCCTAGCACATATGAGATACTGCATATTACTCTATTGTTCTCTGTTATTGGGCTGTCTGTATGAAAGAGAGGGAGAGGGTGGGGTTTGAATTTCTGAAGTGGCACAGGCATGATAAGGACTGAATTTTGAATCCAAAGTACATACCACTTGCTTTTGCATCACTGTAAGCAAGACGTAACATATGTGTTTGGAAGTTAAATGTGACATTTCTTGAGTGGAGATACTCAGTACCTCACATGTAGGATATATCTGTGTTTGCAGAGCAGGGCCAGGCTTCAGTATCACCCTTCTCGTCTGATCTTATTCTGCAACAACCATTTCAGTGCACAAGACACTACTCATATAGGGACTACATGAAGTCGGGATACCCAGTTGCACAGGGGCCCCAAACATGGAAAGCCCTGCAAGTGAATAGTGGTCATGCATTTGAATTTTTCAGCAGGCAGTGCACACAAGATAGATTTGTTGCAGGAAAAAGACCTGGGGGCTTGGCTAAAATTGCTGCCACACACCATCATCAAAACAGGTATGGTCTACATGCAGGCAACGTGTGAACAGGGCTACTGTGGACATTGTCATGTTTGAAGTATGGCATGGGATCCTTAGCTAATGAGTGCTAATCAGTGACCCGATTGTGTACTTCCTGCAAAATGAACTCTTTTCCAGGGGGCACAGCTAGAATCTCTTCACAAAGGTCTCCATTCACATAAATTCTTCTGTGGCTCATGGTAAAATCTCCTGGCCACCCCTATGCTACAGTATTTTGCTCACCACAAAATTGACCTAAGGGGAGCAGGTGCCTACGGTAACTTAATGACTAATGGCTAATGAGAAAGTGGAGCTGCCTGGGGATAAAATTACTGGCTTCAGAAGTGGGGAAACAAAATGAAATGTTTGAACCTGAGGACCAGAGAACCCATAGAGGGCACCAGGACAGGTGGCTGGATTTTACATATTAACTAGAAATGATTAGCTAAATGTCTGGCCCTAAGCCACTGTAGCAGTTCAGTAGCTTGTTATTTTTCCTTCCTTCTAGTCTATTCTTTCTTATTTGTTTTCTTCTCATGATAGCTAGTGGAACATTATTCCTACAAAGCAGATGGACTTCTAAGAATCATCACAGATCCAGTTCCAAATCCTAACTTGAAAAATGGTGAGTGACTGGGTTTATTTTTAAAATGTAGAATTTGAGTCCCCATGGTGGTGTACATGGAAATCATCCATAAAATTATAAGAGCGTAAAATACATAACTGAATCCAATAAATTTTCTAAAAACACTTGGTAAATCAAAAAATGGTTTCAGCAGGTTGATAGGTTATTGGAATTGTGGGTATCTGTATGATTCCAGTAGGAACAGAGTCCCAAATTACTGGTGCCGCTACACAAAAAGTCTTAGTAATTGCGGAAGCTGAAAGAATGTAAGAACTGTGGGACTGTCAGGAGGACTTCTCCATATGATTGCAGTGATTGATCCGTGTATACTCATTCATTTAGCCTTTATTGGCATAATGATTGATCTGTGTATAAGGGACAAGGAGGTCAGGCCATTGGTCAGTCTAGCTCATTGTTGTCCGCAGTGGCTCTCCAGAGTTTCAAACAGATTTGCAGCCATAGGTTGCCCAATCTTAGATTACCTGTAGCAGTGCAAATGTGTAAAGCAGCAACACCCTGTGTTAAGCAAGTGGGCCAGGGCTTTCTCGGAATCTCTTCCAAATTCCCTTTTAGTGCTGTGCCTTGCATCAGGGACACCCTTTCAAGTCTTGGAGCTTAATAACAGCAGAGCAGAGCATGGATAGTTGCTGGCATCCATCGGTCTCCATGAATGAAGTCAAACTGCTGTGTTTGTAGCACGGAAGGGACCTCCTGGTGGCACAAGCCTGGGCAGTGTGTCTGGAGGTCCTGGGCTTCCCAGTTGACAAGACAGCCCTCTCAGCCTTGCTGATATAGTCCAAAGGAAAGCAGAGCAATACGTTTGACACCAGCTTGGCTGCAGAAGTTGCCAAAAGAAGGCATACAAGGTGCCATTCAATTGCCTTAGGGACTCCACTCTGAATTTGTGTATGGTTTACTCCTTAGCCTTTTCTTCGAGTACAACTATATTTATCAGGTTGCTGCAACCTCAGAGTCACTTGGGGCTCATCCAAAATTCCTTTTGCGTCATGCTGCTACTGGTCTGTGCTTTAAAGCTCCATGTCCCGTCACTTTCCCCAGGGAAGACCCGTATTTTGCCATCTTCTCTGGGGAAGGGCCATAGCCCAGTGGTAGAGCATGCAGAGGTTACTTGTTTAGTCCCTGGCAAGTTCAGTCCAGGGAGAGACCCTTCTCTGAAACACTGGGGAGCCACAGCTAATTGATGCAAGATGACCCTGAGCTGGGTGCAGCTGTTCTCTGAGTCTGTATAAGGCTGATTCCTGTGTTCATTTCTTGTTAGTTCAGTAATTTCATTTCTTATGCCACAGCTACACTGATGTTTGCATATTTATTCCCTTGAGAGTGTTCTTCTCCTCTCCCCCCCCAAATGTATTTTGATAAAAGCAGCAATAGTAATTAGTGTACCTCATTATCTTAGGCGTATTCACCCCACCGGATCATAGGCCTAATTTTAGCAAGGTAAGAAAATTGTACTGATGAAAAGCATTTATGGTGGTTTTTAATAATAAAATAAAGTTCAAGGATAGTTAATTTTCACTTTTTGAGTTTCTTAATATATGAACATTTGCTATAATTTTCAGATATATTTGTGTGCTTTACATGCAATAGCATTAGACATTATGTGGATTAATTTTTTTGCTCCGGCTTTTAATTCTTCATAAGAAGTATTTTGGGGTGAAAATATAATGTATTCCAGTCTGCAGTGGGTGGACTCCAGTAGATGTTGTTCCACAGTAGAAAGTATGGGAATTACTCCAAACTTCCAGAGCAGGTTAGGGAAGGGCATTGGGAAGAATCACCAAGATAAATCTTCTTTCCTGTGTTGTTGACTGAGCCGTATCTTGCATCCATGGAGTGGCACCAATTGGCTTCTACTCTTGTTTCACTTTGTACAGTGTATGATGTATTCTCTGCCACAACAGTCCAAATTTGGATATGAGGAAAATACAATTATAAAATCACAATAATTTAAATTAAGATGTTCTGCGTGTATTTGCTTGCTCTGCAATCATTGTTCTTCCAAAAATTCAATTACACAAGGGATTTGAATGTGTTGACAAGGACTAGAGTAGATAGTGAGAGAAAGCAAGATAGGAGAACTGGGTAGAGAAAAAACGGGAACATTTGTTAAATGGTATAGAAGCAAGGACATTACAGAGGGCCATAAAAGCCATTTGGAGAGTGAGTGACAGGAACCAGAACACGAGAAATGAAAACTCATGGTCTCAAGCACTGAGCCCTTTTGAAAATTCCTGCTCTGTCTTGTATGATAAAGCTTTTCTCGTCAACGTTCGTCTCAGTGCTGAAGGAGGCAAGGCATTGACTTCAGACTGAATGGAGATGCATTTTAAAAGTTTGTTCACTTATTCAAATTGCCACACCCCTTCTCTCTCCTTTACACCCAATCCATGGGTCGTTGCTTGAAACACAGCTGTGCTTCTAGCATCTTTTACAATACAAACCCTCACTTGTTGCAGTTTAGCACGATACGGTGCTAACTCCTGGATGCATGCAGGAGGACAAATACATTGTACAAACAGATTGCAAAGTGGAGCAGTCTCTTTTGAGTTGGGTTTGAAGCAACCACTGACATGCTTACATGGATGAACTGGGCTGAAGAGAATGAAGGTTTTTTCATTTTTTAAAAAAAGAAATATTTGGTTTACAGTGCGGCGGTGCATATTATAAAGGATGTGTACAGGGCAAAAGTGAAGGTCCTTGTATGTGAATCCTGGCTAAAAATGCAAAAGTTCACAACCAAGTCCTATTCTCAGTAGAAAGTTTGGAAACCACTATTGTAGATGACTAAAGAAAATAAATGTGTGTGTGAAATATTTCTTACTTTTTCTGATACACTTATTTATCCTTTTGATATCCTTTACGGTTTCTAGACTTGGTCAACAGGTGGAATTTTCACCAGAATCAAGTCATACACTTTCCCAAAGCCGGGAAGCAAAAAGGTGCATAAACATGGTGTTTTGTAAATTTGCAAATGTGTGGAAGGACTTACCCTCATGAAGCTCACTTACAGCTCTTTTCAATGATTTGGCTCCATGCCTTGCTGCTAACGCTCTGCGCACATTTGGCAACTTTCTTCAGCTTCTACTTCTGGCCTAATATAATTAACCCATGGCTCAAATTTAGCTATGTAAAAGAAGTGATTGCATTTTATTTGTTGCCAACATGCTGTGCCATAATATTCATAACTGTAATAATAGTGAGATCAGTTTGGTAGAATGGAGTTGAAAATAAGCTAGTATCACATGTGTGTTCGCATCTTTGAAAACTGTGTTTATGTTTCAGTGAAACAATATTTATAGTTTCGTTTTAAATCTTAGTTTTTGTGTGAGTTATCTCTCTCTGAAACATGGGAAATGTGGGAAACAACTGCCCCTGCTTCTTTAGAGAAGATCTTCCACCCCTCTCTTCTTCTATCTCCACCCCAGGTTTGGGGGCTAGTGCCACTATTGTACCAGCTAATAACATGAAAGCTAGCACTGAGCATATGTACTCTCCTGCCCCCACCCTACCCAATTCCAAGACCTATGCATTTTAGACACAATGATTGCTGGAAAAAGCAAAAGCCAATCACAGTGGCTGCAAGCTGAAATTAATCCTTAATTCTCCTGCAAAAAGGTTTATTTGAGGACAAATGGATGAATGCTGCCCGTTTGTATGTTACATTACAAATAAAATATTAATAAAAATACTTCCTAATTTGTGGAGCAGATGGGCACATGCCTGCTTCTTTCCCGTAACGCTGAGCCAGATCAGTTCTCTGTGTGAATTTTCACGTCTTGTCTCCTTCATGCTAGTCCTAATGAATTCTGATATGAACAAACCTCGTATTTAAAAGTAAATCTCCAAACATTTAAACTGGTTTAGCCCTACTTAGCTGGCAAAAAGACCAGTGGCTTAGGACAAAATTTAAAAATATTGAGAGGGCAGGAAGCACAGGTATTCCATAGTTCCTGTCTTGGTGTTTCTCTGTTTTGTTGAAAGTCAAGAGTTTGCATCTTCCCTAGCAGGTGCAAAGTATGAAACATATGTGTCAGTTGGGAACCTCATATCTATGTTTTGCTCACTACTTATCCCCTTTAAATATATTGCTCCAGTGACTCAGAAATAATTTCCCACTTATATTGACAGGATACACAAGAAATAATATATGCATCCACTTTTTATAGTTATTCCAGAAGATGTGCACTTGTACCATAGTGTCTAGAGACTTACTTCTGAGTACAAATGTTTAGGATACAATTGCTTGCTTTGCGGAGAGAATAGAGTTGATTTGTCTGATGACATGTAAAGGTAAAGGTACCCCTGCCCATACGGGCCAGTCTTGACAGACTCTGGGGTTGTGCGCCCATCTCACTCTAGAGGCCGGGGGCCAGCGCTGTCCGGACACACTTCCGGGTCACGTGGCCAGCGTGACAAAGCTGCATCTGGCGAGCCAGAGCCACACACGGAAACGCTGTTTACCTTCCCGCTAGTAAGCGGTCCCTATTTATCTACTTGCACCCGGGGGTGCTTTCGAACTGCTAGGTTGGCAGGCGCTGGGACCGAGCAACGGGAGCGCACCCCGCCATGGGGATTCGAACCACCGACCTTTCGATCGGCAAGCCCTAGGCGCTGAGGCTTTTACCCACAGCGCCACCCGCGTCCCAGTGTCTGATGACATGACTTCCCTTTAAATCAGTCTTATCTTAAACACTGCATTTTTTCTTCACCCAGGCATCTTTAATAGTGTTACTGATTGGTAGAGATGCAGGAATCTAAACAAGAGTAAGGCTGATAGACAACACCAAAATTATTTTCAGGATCTCTGTTTCTTTGCAAGTTACACTGAGTGACACAAGCCCTGGACTCATTCCGCTGCAATCCCATCAAAATTTACAGAGTAAATATTTAAAAGATCAGCTCAACAACCTTAACAGCAGAAAGGCCCAGGGTGTACATGTTGCTTTTAAACATAGACATGGCGCTGGGTCCCACAATGCATTTTTTCCCTATACACCAGCCTTTGGCAACCTGGTAACTTCCAGATGTTTTGGACTACAGTTCCCATGCTGGCTGGGCTGATGACAGTTGTGGACCAAAACATCTGGAGGGCACCAGGTTGGCAAATTGTGCTTGCTGTACACAATCTACCCACAGGTATTCCTGGCTCAAGAATGCATTGACCTTTAATGGGAGAAAACTAGGTAAACACAGATACAGGTGGCAGAACTTTTCCAGACACCAGAACTCTGGGAATTTCACCTCTTTGACCCGAGTGCCCTCCAACTGTCAGCACTAGTTGCAGACAGAATAAAATGTAAGGTGCGTTTCAGTCATTTAGTATTGCCCTTTTGTTGACTTATGCTGAAAAGGGCCAGAGACATAGATGAGTGAGTTCTCAGCACAAAAGCAAACATCTGGAGAGGGTGGAAATGGTCTGTGGGATGAACCTATGTCTGCCACTTTCATTTCAAATGTTCGTAAATGTGTCAACCTGGGCTCACTCTCAAGCTTACCGATTCAGAGTTTGCGGGAGACCTGTTTATATGCTGCATATGCCATCAAAGGGAATCCATGAAAAGCATAGTACTGATTGGAAGAATAAGACTGAGCAGCTCCAGATTAAGCAGATGTAGGTTTTTTTGGAAAAGACCAACTTAATTTTCTATTGAGTTCTCATTTGAACACAAAGCCATTAGTTCAGTCATAGGCAAACTCGGCCCTCCAAATGTTTTGGGACTACAACTCCCATCATCCCTAGCTAAGAGGACCAGTGGTCAGGGGTGATGGGAGTTGTAGTCCCAAAACATCTGGAGGGCCGAGTTTGCCTATGCCTGCATTAGGTAATTCCCTCATCAGGAAGTGCTCCGAAATACTTGCCAGAATCCTTTTCTGCTTTAGCAGCATGTCTCTTACCTTGCTGACACAGATATGCAAGAAACAATCTGAAGATTTAGGTAAGCTTTGCTCGCTTTCTTTACTCATGCTTTCATTGCCTACATCTTTCGTTGCTTAATTTTTCTTATCATGCTCTCTTTAGTACCCCAAAAATGTACTAATGGAAAAATCTGTTTGTGTGCCACAGCCACCTTTACCTGTCCGGAATGATGATTCTGGATTACTTTTTACAACATCAACGACATCATTACCATCGGCCGCTTTCCCAGATAACCCTTATGGGCCACCACGTGTAAAGCAAGGTAGGCAATTGAAACCAGTTCTCTTTTGATAATAGTTGTTCCCCAAGTTTCTGTCTTATTTTGCACTGGACAGACTTTTCTGTAGAATATTTGAGGCACTAAACATGGAGAGTGATAGAACCCTGAGTAATTGTGACCATTCATAATGCAGAAACCTTTTTTTGAAAGAAAGGAGAAATCCTGGAAACCCTTTGCCTATTTAGAACAAGTACCGTATTTTTCCGTCTATAAGATGCCCCCTATTTTGGGGGACTCGGATTTAACCCAGGGGAAAAACCTAGTCTTATACACAGAAAAATACGGTATTTTGTCACCAATCTATATCTTTCCAGCTATCTATACTTACTTACTGACTTAGAAAATTCATAAACGACTTCATCAAAAGGATCTCCAAGCGGTTTACAAATTGAAATTGTAAGATTTGTAAGGTGATTCTTAGTACACTACTTTCGGATGCTGATATTGCTGGAGAGAAATAACGGCGACTAGAAATTCATGTAATTGCCCCTGTAATTCAGAGAGAAATGTCCTGTTTCAGTTTGGTACAGCACTGTGAGGGCTGGCACCCGTGGAAATGCATTTCTTTTCTCTTCTAAACTGTAAATAAATGCCTGTTTAGCAATGTTTAGCAAGGGTGTGAGAGAGAGTATGCTGCTTGAAAAGGTACACAGCATTTTGAGTGAAACCCAGCTCCTCTCAGAACCCCTTCTGTTGAGAAAAGTACAAAACCCCATGATGCCAGTGTGAAATTTTAGGAAAGCCATTATTCAGATGAAAGCTAAACAGGGGCCTGTTAAGCAGCACAGCAGGAGGAGAGTGGAGAGAAGAGCTGACAAATGGGAACTGTAGGTGGGATAAGGTAGGAGTTAGTCGGCAATGGAAGTGCAGCTAAATTGAGCCTGGGAGGAGGACTTGACATAAAAGTCTTTGCTGCAGAACTGGATATCAATGAGGGAAGTCCAGAAATGAAAGAGGCTTGCCAAATAGTGGTAGGGATTGTTGCTAGCATATTGCACCGCATAGGAGGTGAAATGGATGAGAAAGCAGGCAGAGTACAGTGGTGCCTCGCAAGATGAAATTAATTCGTTCCGCGAGTTTTTTCATCTAGCGAGTTTTTCGTCTTGCGAAGCACGGTTTCCCATAGGAATGCATTGAAAATAAATTAATGCGTTCCTATGGTCAAAAAAAGTCCAAACAAAGCCAAATTTGGTACAACAAGAGTTTATTAAGTGCTCTTTAAAGTCACACATACTGTAAAGAGCATTTCAAAATTCAAACCCAGAATTTTTTTAAAAAAACAGCAGAGTGGCCCAATGGTCACAGAAAATCATAAAAATGCAGAAAAAAAACAGACAAGCTTCCAGATTCTTGCAAACCCCTCCCCAACTGTTCCCCCAGCCACCCAGCATACAGAAATTCAAACCCAGAATTTTTTTCGTCTTGCAAAGCAAGCCCATAGGGAAATTCGTCTTGCGAAGCAGCTCGAAAAACGGAAAACCCTTTCGTCTAGCGAGTTTTTCGTCTTGTGAGGCATTCGTCTTGCGGGGCACCACTGTACTAACATTTGACAGGCAGGGAGCACAGAAACATTTGTGTGCCAGAAAAAGCTAAACCTGTTCTGCTGTTCAACACCCAGGTGATCAGAGGTTGCCCATGGACACAGAGGTCTACGAGAGTCCATATGCAGACCCAGAAGAGATAAAAACTAAAAATGTCACCCTGGACCGAAGTCTGCTGGTCCTGGAAGACCACGAACTCGGTTCTGGTAATTTTGGCACTGTGAAAAAAGGCACCTATGAAATGAAAAAGTAAGTTTTGAAATGCTGTCATCTTACCATCCTTTCCTCTTGACTGTTATTTTATTTGTCATATTCCTTTGATGATACTGCTGTTCTTAAGCCCTGGACCAGACTTCCTTTGCCTCAATCAATAGAAGCCCTAACACCATTGGGATGTGTTTTCAAAAGATTCACTTGTCGAAACAGACTAACAAACAGTGTTCCGTTGTGTGTGCATTGCTCATTACCCTATGCATGTCATGTTTATTCCCTTTTAAATACGCTTCTTGAATACAATACAGTATGTTTTCATAACTTTGGGTCTTTGACTTGTTTTGATACATAAGCACCAAACAGCAAAGCTTTCCTTTTCTTCTTTAATAAGAACTTGTGCCTTTGACCAGAATATATCATTTTTAAGTGCTTATACCACCACCACCAACGATCCACCCCCAAGAATGCTCCCTTTTTCCCATCAATGGGAAAGAAATCAATTAACCTTCATTCATATTTCTGCCCGTATATTTTGCTTCATAGCTTTTGCTTTAGAAGGACTTATAGTGCATGAATTATGCAATGTTGCCTGTTCCTCCTCTGAGGTGTTGCACGCAGCCACATTTGGAAGCAGAAACTGGATAGATTGAGCACACGGCAAACAGACAAGAATACTTTGAGCACTGCATATAATGTAGACATTCAGCCCTTGTATATCAATGGGGAACGGGTGGAGAGGGTGGCGGAATTCAGGTTTTTGGGAGTAACTATCGATCAGGGCATGACTTGGAGCGCACATACCACTGCTCTGGTGAAGAAGGCCCAGCAGAGAATTTATTTCCTCAGACTTTTAAAGAAGAACAATCTGAGTGAGAGACTGCTGGTGTCCTTCTACCGAGGCTCCATAGAGAGCATTCTTACATACTGTATTTGTGCTTGGTTCTCCAGTTGTACAGCTAGGGAGAGGAAGGTGCTCCAGAAGGTCATAACCACAGCCCAAAGGATTATTGGTCATCCTCTCCCATCTTTGGAAGAACTGTACGGTTCCCGTTGTCTTAGGAAAGCAAATAACATCCTGCAGGATTCATCTCACCCGGGACACAGTCTGTTTGCACTACTGCCTTCTGGCAGGAGATATAGAAACATCAAGTCAAAGACAAATAGACTGAAAAACAGTTTCTATCCAAGAGCTGTGGCCTTTTTGAATGCTGTAACTCGATAGTGTGACCTGGGAGTTTGATGGGTGTTGGTGTGGGTGTGGCTGGAATGTGGTTTGTTTGGTTGTTGTTGTTGTTTTGCTTTTGTTGTTTTAAGGGATGGCATCCAATTTCGTTGCACTTTGTGCAATGTTGCACTTGTGTAATGACAATAAAGAATCTATTCTATTCTATTCTATTCTATTCTATTCTATTCTATTCTATTCTATTCTATTCTATTCTATAATGTAGGTTTCCTGGTGGTTTCTTTTCAGGGGAAAGAAGACAGTGGCTGTGAAAATTCTCAAGAACGAAAGCAACGACCCCTCCCTAAAAGATGAACTGCTGAGAGAAGCAAATGTTATGCAACAGCTGGATAACCCATATATTGTCCGAATGATAGGCATATGTGAGGCCGAGTCCTGGATGTTGGTAATGGAAATGGCTGAACTTGGCCCCTTGAATAAATATCTGATAAAACACAGGTAAAATGGCCGTCCATATTATTTATTGAATTATTGTGTGTTAATAGGCAAAACTGATGGACTAATCACTAGCTTGAGTAGTTTTCCAAAGCTTTATTTTCTCCAAGAGCATATTTACTACTGGTTTGTAAAAAAAGTTCTACTTTCCCACCACATTTGTGAAATTCAGTCAAAAGGTGAAGATGTGCTCTAAAAGAGTTGAGTGCGTCATTACTGTTTGTTCTCCAGTATGGATCCCTTTGAGGTGGGATCCCTTCGTTCTTGAAAAGTGTAAGCACATAATGGATTGGTAACATAAGTATTTAGTTAGTTATGAGGTATTTGTTTCCCCTCCACATTTCCCTCACATGAAAGCAAAGGGTCTGATTCTGACTGGAAGCAGAAGGACACATGCCGTCAAAATATTTTCTGGATTTTTCTTGGAAACAGATTTTTAGCTCATGGGGGGGGGGACTTTAAGGGACAGGAAAAGAAGAGCAGGCCTACTTGTGTAACATTGGATTCCACACAAGCAAAATCCAGGAACAACTAGTTAATTACCAGCAAAATAAGTGGAATGGAATAATGAGGAATGAAAATTTACTACAAATTGCTAAAGTAGTAAACTAGTTCTGGTTTTTCAGAGATGTCGCAGAAAAGAATATCATTGAGCTGGTTCATCAAGTTTCCATGGGGATGAAATATTTGGAAGAAAACAACTTTGTGCACAGAGATTTAGCTGCGAGAAACGTACTGCTGGTCACACAACATTACGCCAAAATCAGTGACTTTGGACTTTCCAAAGCCCTTGGTTCTAATGATTATTACAAGGTACAATTTCACCCTGTAACTTGTCTCGACTGTGATTTCTTCTCATGATGTCACTGTGGCTTCCTGTGATGTGCATGCACAGTCATTGTAGTTTAAAATTTGTTAGCTGTCCTTCAGCACAAAACATGATCAGGGCAGCAGGCATGCCTCTGCAAGGAATCTTTCCTTTGCTACACACACTCTCGAAACTACTTCTATTTGCAACATGCAAGCCATCAATGCTGGGAGCTGAGCAAGGCAGGGGCCTGGGGGCTGCAGGTGCAGCTATGTTATATGTGCTCAGTAGATTCTAGCAGGTTGCCCACACATCAGTGTTCACATACACACACACACTGATGACATCATTGGCTCACAACATGATGCAGTACTGGGAAAACTAGATCCACCAGTGACTAACCTTCCCCCTCTGATGGTGTCAGAAGAGGGTGGACTTTAGAAATTCTGCAAAACCATAATTGCTTCCTCTTATTGCTGTATGCTGTGTTATATTGTATTTTAGTGTTCTGTTGGAAGCCGCCCAGAGTGGCTGGGGAAACCCAGCCAGATGGGCGGGGTATAAATAATAAATAATAATTATTAGTCTAATAATTATTAGTCTAATATTCTCTTTTATGTGTGGCACCACTGTAGGCAGAACATTATGGGAAATGGCCGGTCAAGTGGTATGCTCCAGAATGCATGAACTTCTTCAAATTTTCGAGCAAGAGCGATGTTTGGAGTTTTGGTGTTTTAATGTGGGAGGCTTTTTCCTATGGGCAAAAGCCATACAAGGTACATTTTATATGTTGCTTTCCTTCATTAAACATCCATATTTTAATACAGATTCAGGTCTTTCTGTGCTTGTGCTTATGTAGCCAAAACCCCATACCACTGGAATGCAAGATGTTACTACTAGGAGACTCAGAGTCATAGAATCATAGAGTTGGAATAGACCACAAGGGCCATCGAGTCCAACCCCCTGCCAAGCAGGAAACACCATCAGAGCACTCCTGACATATGGTTGTCAAGCCTCTGCTTAAAGACCTCCAAAGAAGGAGACTCCACCACACTCCTTGGCAGCAAATTCCACTGTCGAACAGCTCTTACTGTCAGGAAGTTCTTCCTAATGTTTAGGTGGAATCTTCTTTCTTGTAGTTTGGATCCATTGCTCCGTGTCCGCTTCTCTGGAGCAGCAGAAAACAACCTTTCTCCCTCCTCCATATGACATCCTTTTATATATTTGAACATGGCTATCATATCACCCCTTAACCTCCTCTTCTCCAGGCTAAATGCATGCTCAAGTATTAAAAAATTGTGGAAACAAATGGGGGAGGAATACCCCAAACAGCCCTATAATAACTCAGTGACATGGACTAGTGATAGATTGAGAGGAGAAATAAAGGGATAAGTGAGGGGAAGGGTGAATGGCGTGGCTGGAACAGGAGGACAGAGAAATATATGTAGCTATATCTGAATGTAAAAAGAACTATCTCGTCTGGATCAGTCTCTTCCTGGTTCCCACTAACAATCTATTTTTAAATGTCCCCAGGGATAGAAGAGAAAGCTGCCCTAGACTTGAGCGCAGAATTTAGTATAGCTGGGATTCAGCACAAATATGCCTACCCAACTCAAAACCCAAAATGCAGATTCAGGATGCTCAGTGGGCACAGAGTGCTGATGGACTTGTGGCGGGTAGGAAACAGATCTTGGTAGTGTGGGCACGAGCAGAATAAAGATGCTGGAACCAGGAAGAGGAGCACTCTACCCTCCATGTTGTTGCAGACCATCACTTGTCCCTAAATAATTGAGTTTGACAAAAATAAGTAAATCCTTTCTCATTCTGTTGCAGGGTATGAAAGGTGGGGAGGTTGCTCAGATGATTGAAAGAGGAGAGCGAATGGAATGTCCAGAAAACTGCCCACCTGAGGTCTATGAGTTGATGAAATTATGCTGGACATATGAGTGAGCATCATCATATTTGTGTTTCTTCTGATAAAAACATTGGATTTCTTGTGCTTTTCACTCCCCACTCTGTCTTCGCTTTTTCTGCATTTTAAACCATGAAATAAAAAGATGCAAACTGCCCTTGAAGGAACATTTCAAGCCAAAGGAATAAAATGTGAATTAACAATAATCGTTGCCCTACTTAACACAGTAATGAAAATGAGAAGTAATGCCCTGCAAGCCAAATTGCAATATAGCTTTTAGACGAGATAACTTTCTTATAACCACTGTGCACAGCTACATAGCAACAGATTGTTTCTGGTACAGCATTTTCCAGAAACGGACTGACAAAAGCTTGTTGAGCAGAACACTGGGCTACAAAAGCTGTGCAACATGAAAAAATTGATTAAAAATATACATAGGGGTGTATTTTTTTAAAAAAAAAAACCTCAAAAGTACAGTGATGTTCTCGGCACATCTCACAAACAGAAGACCCTTCCTTCAGTGATGAGGGTGCCCTAAATTATTGCAGTAGAGTACTTAGATGATGATCACTCAGCACATGTTCTCGGTCACATGGGAACCCAGAACAAACTAATCCCAGTGGGTGGTGTTCTAGGGGCCCCTTTAAGTACTTTTCTGCGAAACGCCTATCTAGATCTCTGAGATAAGTTGTATAAGACAAAGGAGCATTATTGGCTGCTGATCCAGTTCTGCTTGTGGTCTTCAAGGAAGGGTCAAGAAATAGCTTATTCTTCCCAGCCTCACAGGTTCTCCTTGAGAGCTCCCACCCCCTTTGTGGAGGGGATAGACTCTGTATTTACACTGCAGCCAGGAATTGCAGTTTTACTTCAACTACCTGCATTTCTTCTCATAGCCATTATTCCCTTGCTTCATCTGGTATAAAGCAGCTTGCTGTTTATTGCTGTCGGAACTAGGGGCTAAATGTCTGTATTGCCCTTACAAACTTCCACCTAGTGTCTCTCAGGACCTTCTTGACACTGCTGGGGAGCAACATTTTCTGGCATTACCTGCACATGTGGTCAAAACCCATCTCCGCTTATGATGGCTGGAAATTGCCCATCTGGACTTAAATGAAAAAGAGAGCAAAGGATGTGTGTGCCTATAATAAAAACGAAATGTCTTTCTTTTACAGCGTCGATGATCGGCCAGGATTTTCTGCAGTGGAGTTCAGGCTGCGCAATTTCTACTATGACATGGCACAATAAGAGCACTGTGTACTGAATGGCTGTAAATGGAGACACCATGCAGGAGGCAAATATGAAGAATGAAGATGCTCTCTGGTGAAAAGAGTTCTGCTGTACAAATGCCTTTGCAGCTTTTCAGAGCGTTTCTGCAGGAATCGTTTTCCAAGTGGGGTTGCGTTTGTTCTTTGGATATTAATTGTGCTTTTAACCTATTGATGCTGTTGGACTGGTAAGAATGCTGGAGAAGACTGTCCCCACGCACTTTTCCTGCTCTCAGTAGAATACCCGCAATGCTATTAAGAGATGTTCAGTGCCTTATTTGATACTGCCACTTTCATAACCTTTCCTTGGGATAGTCAACACAGGGATTGATTTTGGACCGGAACTGAGTCCTGACCCTGCTTCAAGTAGCCGATTTCAGCCTTAAAACTGTGTTTGCCAATGTAAAATGCAGAAGAAGTGTGTTGTTCATGTGCTAAACAAGAGCCTTGCTTTGGCCTCTGCTAGTACTTCTTCCTCACTGTTAAGTCCTATTGAACACAGAAATCTAATTATTCTGTAGGCTATGTTCCACAACAGCAGCCTAATCACGCCCTCTTTCTTGAGCTATATAACTTAAGGCTGCAATACCTAAGGAAATACTTGAGCAGTGATTCTTGTTGATTGACTTCTGAGTATACATTTTTAAAAATGAACTATAATTTTCACAGTAACGAAATACAGTGGTACCTCGGGTTAAAAACTTAATTCGTTCTGGAGGTCTGTTCTTAACCTGAAACTGTTCTTAACCTGAAGCACCACTTTAGCTAATGGGGCCTCCTGCGCCGCTACTGCACGATTTCTGTTCTCATCCTGAAGCAAAGTTCTTAACCCGAGGTACTATTTCTGGGTTAGCGGAGTCTGTAACCTGAAGCGTATGTAACCTGAAGCGTATGTAACCTGAGGTACCACTGTAAATAAAATACACGAACTAGCCACCAACAGTGCAACTAATCTTAACTGGTATCTGCAGGCTGTAGCCACCAATCCAGTGTGACTGTCCCATCTTGTAGGCTGCTGAAAAGTACTTCCATGGGAAGACACAGGAGTTGATGGGCATCACCTTTTGAAAGACTTCTGCTGCCCCTCAGAATCTCCAGGTGAGCACTGCACATCTCAGGATTTGCTTGCATGGAGAAGCTTAGATGTGACTGAACCAAGGAATGCAGCAAGAGCCTTCAGATTTAGCACCCACTATGCAGGAATCCTTTCACTGGTCCCCATGCATAGTTTGTCGCATTTTAAAGAAGCCCTTGTAGCCTGCATTATTGCTACAAGAAGCTGGCTGGCGGAAGGCGCACCCCTGAATTTCCACCCCCTACCACCCTGAAGGGCCCCTAGATTTACTGTTTTGAGCATAAGCACTGCTCCTAAACAGTCCTGGATCCATTCCACAGCCTTCCACTGAGCTTTCTGAAGTGGTTTTGTTGCCTTAATTGTGTCCCTGAAGACCAGCAACCCAAATGATCATGGGACTGCAGGAACTCCCCTATGAGCAACGGTACAACAGTTGAGTCTTTTCAGCACCTCAAATGCAACAAATAGAAAGGATCATGGCATTTAAAAAAATGGAATATCTCTTTGTAATCAAGCAATGCTGCAGAATGTAAACTAATGCCAAACAATCAGATTCAGAAATCTTAGCACTAGGTCCTATGAATGCAAAATGACTTTTTTAAAACAGTTTTTTTAAAAATGAACTTCTATTTTCATTGCCTATTTATGTACAGAAAACGCTTCTCTTGTATTATTTCATATGGTCTACATTGTGATTTTGAAAAACAAACATCTGTTTATTCCATTTTTTCTGGCTGTTTGTTTTCTTTGGTCTGGTTTCTCAGTCCCTTTGTTCAGGGCCAGTTTATAGCACGAGAAATTCCACGGATGGTGGTGGGAGTTGCATTAGGACTGTGGTGATAGCCCTTCCTTGTATGAATTTTGTGGTTCATACAAGCCCTGCCTGTGGCTCATAGAAATCTGTGAGTGATGTAGATTGGGGAGTGCGGGCAAGGTAACTGGATGTCCAGTCATCAGGAAATGTCACTTTCATTTGCCCAGGGACAATCTATATCAGGAACAGGCAAACTCGGCCCTCCAGATGTTTTGGGACTACAGCTCCCATCATCCCTAGCTAACAGGACCAGTGGTCAGGGATGGTGGGAATTGTAGTCCCAAAACATCTGGAGGGCCGAGTTTGCCTATGCCTGATTTATATCTATTGTTCTGTGGGAATGCTGATACACTCAAGCTGTCGTATTAGGTGCAAAATTCAGCTGCTTACACATTTCAGTTTATGTTTTAATGTTTCTAAGCTTTTGTAGCTGCAAAGATGTGCTTGAGAGGGTACAGGCAATGCTTGCTGTAAACTCAGTAGCTGAAGATAGGACTGGGAACCTTGATAGATGCCTGAAACGAAGGGCTCATTCACACTTCCATTTGCCCCGCTGCTTTCAGATTTCCCGTGGATTGCCATTTGTTCCGATTTAGCACTAAAGAGCAGGTTTTCCAGGGAAAGCGGAAGGACAAGGGCAAAACAGTTCAGACCTGTGCCTTATAGGCACAGCACAAGCCTAAGTGATACCATTGGTCCATTTAGCGGGGTGCTGACGGCAGTTTCAAACTGGCGGTGAATCCATCTAGAGATGTGGTTGTATTGTTCCTATAAGGTGTGCAATGTTCTTACATTTTGCATGCCATTAGTCCTTTTAAGTTACTCATAGCGTTTGAGAAATTTTATAGAAGGCTAGAAGACACACCTCTCAGAAAGCTAGACAAAAAATTTGCCCTCTCTCCCACTGGTGGTTTTTGAATCTGTGTACACACAGTGTTACCTGGGATGCAGAGCTATCCTGTAGTTTTCTGGAAATGTTGTGGTTTGATGTGGTTTCCCAAATCCAGCACTGACTGTAGCAGGAAACTAACCAGACATTTTTCATCCCTGCCTGCTCTCTGCCCATTGGTGTGGACAGACTGCTAGCGAGGTGGAAAGACATAAAAGCATACTGATGTAGACAGAAAGGTGCAAATACACCTTGAAACGCGGGGGGGGAGGGGAACAACTGCGCTGCATTTTAAACCAGCAATGTGTACAGAGTCTTAAAGAAAAGCAAAACAGCAGGAGTAAACTCCTGACTCCATCCAAAGGCCAGTGCCATCTAGTGAGCAGATGATGAAATGGCAGTGTCTTCACAACAGTTTACTCTGAAAGTGAGCATGATAACTGCGTGTTTCTTCGGGGGGGGGGGGGCTTTGTAAATACTGCAACTTAAAATAGATTAGATCAGGTGAAAGGAAGAGAATAAAAAGGATCCTAACGGGAAAGCACATGAGATCTGTGCCCTGGCATTGTTTGTTTATTTATTGGAATACAGTGGCACCTCTGGTTATGAACTTAATTCGTTCTGGAGGTCCGTTCTTAACCTGAGGTACCACTTTAGTTAACGGGGCCTCCCGCTGCCGCGCGATTTCTGTTCTCATCCTGAGGTACAGTTCTTAACCCGAGGTACTACTTCCGGGTTAGCGGAGTCTGTAACCCAAAGTCTTTGTAAACCGAGGTGTTTGTAACCCGAGGTACCACTGTATTTCTAGATTGCACTTTCATTAAAACAACAGTAAGATGGTATACGTCATACAAAATTACAATAAGGTCAATAGCAATGCCCATTATCTTGAGCCTCCAAGGGTACATAATTATACCAGCAAAAAACAAAAACAAAATCCAGTTCTTATTAAAGGTAAAGGTACCCCTGCCCGAAGGCCAGTCGTGTCCGACTCTAGGGTTGTGCGCTCATCTCACTCTAGAGCAGTGTTTCCCAACCTTGGGCCTCCAGCTGTTTTTGAACTACAATTCCCATCATCCCTGACCACTGGTCTTGCTAGCTAGGGATGATGGGAGTTGTAGTCCAAAAACAGCTGGAGGCCCAAGGTTGGGAAACACTGCTCTAGAGGCCGGGAGCCAGCGCTGTCCGCAGACACTTCCGGGTCACGTGGCCAGAATGACGAAGCTGCTCTGGCGAACCGGCACCAGAGCAGCACACGGAAACGCCGTTTATGTTTTACCTTCCCGCTATAAAGCAGTACCTATTTATCTACTTGCACTTAAGGGTGCTTTCGAACTGCTAGGTGGGCAGGAGCTGGGACCGAACGACGGGAGCTCACCCCGCCGTGGGGATTCGAACCGACGACCATGCGATCGGCAAGTCCTAGGCGCTGAGGTTTAACCCACAGCACCACCCGCGTCCTCTCCAGTTCTTATTAAACACCTCCAAATCTTTCCCAATCTAGAAGAGCATGTGAAGAAGGTGAGAAATAGTTTGCAGCCCCTTCCTGCTCTATATGCAGGAGCTTGGACTACCTCAAAACTCCAGGACTGGCATGAATTGCTATCGTGAGCATCTTGTGGGAACCAAACCAACCCTTAATTTGACCATTATTCAATATTGACTTGTTCTCTGACTGTCTGCCTGCCTCTCCAGGAAAAGGTTCCCCTTAAACCTAAAATTCAGTAGAAGAAATAGCAAGCCCATTTTCTAGTCTGATTCTTTCAAATCAGAACCAGTGAAGGCAGTGAAGGTCCTGTGTGAGTGTCTGGAGGCAGTTGGAGGATAGATGGCGGCTAACAGATTGAGGTTGAATCCTGACAAGACAGAAGTACTGTTTTGGGGGGACAGGAGGTGGGCAGTGTGGCAGGACTCCCTGGTCCTGAATGGGGTAACTGTGCCCCTGAAGGACCAGGTGCGCAGCCTGGGAGTCATTTTGGACTCGCAGCTGTCCATGGAGGCGCAGGTCAATTCTGTGTCCAGGGCAGCTGTTTACCAGCTCCATCTGGTACTCAGGCTGAGACCCTACCTTCACACGGACTGCCTCACCAGAGTGGTGCATGCTCTGGTTATCTCTCGCTTGCGCTCTGTGTGGGGCTACCTTTGAAGGTGACCCAGAAACTACAACTAATACAGAATGTGGCAGCTAGACTGGTGACTGGGAGCGGCCGCCGAGACCACATAACACAGTCTTGAAAGACCTACATTGGCTCCCAGTACATTTCTGAGCACAATTCAAAGTGTTGGTGCTGACCTTTAAAGCCCTAAATGGCCTCGGTCCAGTATACCTGAAGGAGCGTCTCCACCCCCATCATTCTGCCCGGACGCTAAGGTCCAACGCTGAGGGTCTTCTGGCAATTCCCTCACTGCAAGATGTGAGGTTACAGGGAACCAGGCAGAGGGCGTTCTCGATAGTGGTGCCTGCCCTGTGGAACACCCTCCCACTAGATGTCAAAGAGAAAAACAACTACCAGACTTTTAGAAGACATCTGAAGTAGTGATACTAAATTCTCAAGAATAACCTTTTGGACATCTGAAGGCAGCCTTGTTTAGGGAAGCTTTTAATGTTTGATGCATTACTGTATTTTGTTGGAAGCCGCTCAGAGTGGCTGGGGAAGCCCAGCTAGATGGGCGGGGTATAAATAATAAATTATTATTATTAGTCCCAAATTCAAATCTATGCCTGTTAATAACCAGCATTTAATGCTGCCATGGATGGGGCACCTTCTCTGCTGGATTTTTCCACGTTTTGTTTAATCTTTTGGTGTGTTTCTGTATTTCAGTTTCTTACCGGCTTATCATTAATAATATAATATTATTAATACACATTAAGAACTGCCAAGTACCTAATTACTGCATTGCCAGAATCCACACACTTCCTCTTAACTCCGGGTTTCGAAAA